CAGAACCAAGCTTTCCTACAGAGTATAGAGGAAGCAGACTTTCAGAAGTTTTTGAAAGAGGGATTATACTTTTTAAAAAATCCTCACCTGAGGATATATTTGTATTGATTTTTAGAGAGAGAGAGAGAGGGAGGAAGGTGCAAGGAGGGAGAGAGAGCAAGGAGAGAGGGGGGTGAAGAGAGAGAGAGAAAGAGAGAGAGAACGATGCTCGGACCAACTGAGACACACTGGCCAGGGTAGCCTTTCAGAGTTTTAAACATACTCTTTCTAACTTGAAGAATTTTAACTCTAGTAAAACCATACCAACAATAGAAAAACTAAGAGACTAATATGCAAAACTAGCTTAAGGCAGATTTTTTTGGCTTATTTGTGCTATTGGCTACCTCTCACTTTTCCTGTTACATTTAGCAATTTTACTCTGTAATTTACAGAGAACGTACAAGATATTGCGCAAAATATTTGGCTCCCAATCGTGGGACAACTTTCGTTCAAATGAGGACAGACAGATGTTTGAAACCATTAAACCATTATTTATGCTCCTCCCCCCCCCCGAAGATGGATAATTAAAGCTGACAGAGATGTGCTAGAGGACAGTGTTACTGAATGTATTCAAGTGCGGCTGCTGTGGGCTGTTGACTGAGCAGCCTGCCATTGCCTGAATCGACTCTCTTCTTTGTGAGGCCCTGTGCAGTGTGCTTAGCGAGAATCCATGGGGCTCTACAGGTTCAATGAGGTTTAATAATTTATAATTTGTCGTTTAAATTATATTCCCCACTATCATGATAAAGCAGTCAACAGGAAAGTAAGTCTTATTCTTATATATTGCACATCTGGTCTCCTGTTCGGTTTCATTGTGAGTAACTGGCTCCTGTCCCAAGATGAGAATACCTGAAGCTGGCAAGCTTCCAAGTCGTTTGTTAAGCAGGGAGAACACTACGCCAGGAACAGGGATGGGATCGCTGTCACATGGTCTGTTGGTGACACGTTGTCTTCCTTCCAACGGGTGTGAATGTTGCTTCTAAATATCTCAGCTGGAACACGAACCCCATAGTCTTTTCTCACAATGGAGAGGAAATCTGGCATTATTATTATTTTTTAATTTGGTCACCAAGTAATGTACTGATGGCCATATAAGATTATGTCCTTTGAGCTATATCAAAATTTTTATTATTCCCCATAGCGCCTAGCATAGTGCTAGGCATATAGTCAAATCTAGAAAACTCTAGAAGAAAATGCGGGACCTATGAATTATGCTGAAAATAATTTTATTCCCATGTAACTCTAAATACTTTATGTGGGAAAATAATGGAAAATTAGTGTGAGGTCAAAATTTATACTTTTTGAAAACAGTAATCTTGTTTTTCTACTCTGTCAGAACATCAGTTGGGTAGATCATCTCACAGAGTATTACTGATAGTCCCACAAGGTCACACATGCTAAGGAAGCATCCGAGGAGGAAAGTAATTTAACAATTAAGCATGTCTTTTCTGTATCACAGTTCAAAGGGAAAAGCACACCATTGTTTTACATGATGAATCAAAACTAGAATGTCAAATACACATACCCCTTAAATTGATGTTTTTGAGACCCACACTTGCTACTTTATTATCTGTTCAATCATTCATGCAATAATATATATCAAGAACATGCATCAGCCACACATTATATTTAAAACAATCAGAAGGATATGCAGATTATAGTAATCAGATGCTCATCCCAGCATTGTTTGCAATATCAAAAGTTAGACTGATTATCCAACAAAAGATTTTTCATTGAATTATAGTAGAGTTACTAATAGCATATTATACAGACATTAAAAACGTTGATACACCCTGGTAAGGTAACGCAGTTGTTTAGAGCATCATCCCAATACACCAACGTTGCACTTTCGATCCCTGGTCAGGGCACATACAAGTATCAACCAGTGAATGTATAAAGAAGTGGAACAACAAATCGATGTTTCTCCCTCTTTGTCCCTCCCTCTCTCTCCCTCTCTCCCTTTCTCCCTCCCTCTCTCTCTCAGAATCAATACTAAAAAAAATCACATTGATATAGATTATGTAAATGTGTATTGTTGGCATGAAAATATATTTGTTGCTATTTACTAAATGAATAAAACAGGTTATGGAATAATATTTAAAATGTCTGTTCATTTAAAAATAAATCTATCTACAATATACATATATCCATTTGTGTGGTACATTCTCAAGAAGGATAAATGTCAAAAGTTTAATGGTGTTTTATTCAGGGCAATGGAATTACAGGTAATACCTTTCTATCTTCTAATTTGCTTAAAATGAATATATAACTCTGCAACAATAAAAAACCAACACTTAAACATGTATAGATCATTATAGTACCAGTAGAAAGATATATTGCTTTCTGATAGCCAATTTTAGTCGAGAAAATGATCTGGTTAATCTAGCAAAATCATCAACATGTTGCAGCACATATTAGAATGATCCCAAGAGGAGAGAGCTTTTCTTTCTTAGGGTTTTTTTAAATCTGCAATTATTAACATTTTGAAAATAGAATAGAAGAAATGCCTCATTTTTAAAAATCCTCACCCAAGGATATGTTTTTATTGATTTTAGAGAGAGAGAAGTGGGTGGGGGAAGAAAAAGAGAGAGAGAGAGGGAGACATCTACCAGTTGCCTCCCATACGTGCCCTGACTGGGACAGAACCCACAACCTGGGTATGTGCCCTGACTGGAAATCGAGCCCTCAACCTTTTGGTGTGCGGGACAACACTGTGGCCAGCTGAGCCACCTGGGCAGGGCAGGGCAGGAATGCCTCATTTTTAACAAACAATTTTTTTAATAAGTCAAATGTGTTTTGTATATTTATGATACGACTTTTTTTTAAAGTAAGCAGGTTTAGAAAGTGAAGTGAGGTACTTTGGCATAATAAATGCATATCACCTTTGGTTTTTAGAAAGATAAGAGGGCTGAAGTGACTTAAATTAATTCTGTAGTCTGACTTAGATTCTGGAAAATAGGTCAGAGGAGGGTAGGGGTGTACTTAATGATGTGGACAGGCTCATGTTACTTTATAATTGTTACTTTATATTTTGGATGAATAAAGAAATTATTTTGCATTAATTTAACTTCTCATATTTCACTTAAACCTGTAGTATTCCCTGAATGAAAATTTAAATAATGGAGATTATATTCCTCTTTATTGGGGCATGTGTTCTCTTTGTATACATAAATATATTTTTAAAAAACAATTTAAGTGACTCACAGAAATGTATATAATACTAATCTTATGCATAATATGTACAATTATGTATATTAATATATGTCATATTTCATAAGATATATTCATGTTAAAATATGCCTGAATAGATATTAAATGCTTTGCATGGTTATATAAAAAAGGAATGTTTCTTTCGTGTGGAAAATTGAACAAAATGATTATATCTGATCCCCAAACGTGGCTATAATTTCATTTGTGAAACAAACCAAGATGATACAAAAACATGGTTTAAATGTTTTTTTCTCTCCTTTTTTCTCTTTTATTTTTATATGTGGTATTTTAAAATGTTAATGAGGTACCCTATCATGATTGATGAACCAAGATATAGTATGCTTCTTGATTCACTGTTTATGTCATTTTAACTAAGCTTTTTTCACCCTTGTAATTTTATTATGCTGTTTGGTTAATTAAAAAGTGCTAATTTTAAGACTATTACGTTATGCCTTAAAAATTCCCACGACCTGTTGAACAGTTGAGTTCGACATGAGAAGGCATGTTTGACCTTCGGTTGGCATCCTTTTTAATTCCGCAGGGAGGTGATGGAAGCATTGAATGCTTCTAGTCTGCCTTCACTGTGAACCCCAGGCATGTGTAGCAGCGCCTGCTCACTTAGGATGTCCGGGATGTGATTTATTGATTACTCTGTGGTGTATTCAGTCTTCATCTTACAGAGATCCCCACAGGGTCACATTTCCCAATTACTGTGACATGACTGAGATGGATTTTCAGTGTTTTCTCTATTGTGAATATTAATTGCTACCTTAGATTTTATTTTTACATTTAGATAGTGTGGATGCTATCTTAATTTAATGAGTGTAAGTTGTGTGCCTGTGCCTTCTCAGCATAAAGGGATAACAAACTGTGCATGACACAGCAGTCCAAGAAATTCTAAAAAGAAAACTATTAAGATAACCCAGCATCAGTTGGTCATTCATCCTCAAAGAAAAACATTCAAAGAGAATGGATTCCAAAAATATATTAAAAATTAGAGTCCTCCCAGAGTTATAGGAAATACAAAAAATACCCACTCAGACACAGAGGCAGGATCAATTCCTCTGTGTGCTTATTGATTTTGCAAGAAAAAAAAAAAGACATAAAACTAATTGCAAAGTAAAAGGATAGAATGCATCTTATAAGAGAATGGAGGGGCATTAGGAGACAGTATCGGTCTTCATGGGAACATAATGGCAACACAGCCATTACTGGGAGCAGTACCGTACAAGGGATCAAGATTACACAGAGATCTCTAGGCAAGGGAGGACTCATAGATATTTTTGAAATAATATAAATGGGGTTCTCCCACAGCGGCCCTAAGCCATTGCTTAATCAGGCTTGTTTTCTCATTGCCTTTCTAACAGTGAGCAGTCTCAGAGAAAGCACTATTTGTTCTTCCCCTGCACAGACATTGCCATTGCTCCCTGCACAGCTCTGGTTGGCCCTTCCTGTGTGATCTGCACACTGAAGTAGTCGTTACGCCAGGGGGTGGGGTACTCTGACTACCGTGGATTCCCCAAGTCTGTGGAAAGGCAGGGCCGCATGAATCCAAGGAGTCCTGACGGGTCAGTTCTTTAAAAAATGGACATAAAGCAGAACCAATAATTGCAGATGTCCACACAGGTAGGATTTATCTTGTCAGAAAATAGGCTTAAGGATATTTCAGGAACAGATTATGAAGTAAAACTCAAAGATAGAAGCGAACAAGGCATGTTTAGGGGACTTAGGATAGAGTTCCTTTTTGAGAGCAGAGAGTTTGTTTTTAAGGGACAGTAGAGTCGCAGCTAAGTTATTGAAGACATTTAGTGCCAGGTTGCATTTGTTTTGCAGGCAATAGAGAGCTGTAGGAAGGGGTTTGTGTGTGTGTGTGTGTATGCATGCACAGAATGATTCCATTTAAGTTAGTCAGTGTTTTTCAATATACAGCCTGCTTTAGATCAGCAGTTCTCAAAATTTTTGGTCTTATGGTCCCTTTATATTCTTAAAATTTATTGAGAAGCCCAAAGTGTTTATTTTATTTATTTATTTATTTATTTTTATTTATTTAAAAAAACGTATCTTTATTGATTTCAGAGAGAGGAAAGGAGAGGGAGAGAGAGAGACAGAAACATCAATGATGAGAGAGTCATTGGGGATGGAGCCCGCAACCCGGGCATGTGTCCTGACCGGGAATCGAACCCTGATCGCCTGGATCCTAGGTTGACGCTCAACTGCTGAGCCACGCCTGGCCGGGCTGGTTATATTTATTGATAATATAAATTAAAACTGAGAAAAGATTAAACAAAAGAATGTATGTGCAGATCTTCCATTAGCTCTCAGAGTGATGACATCATCATATCATGTAGCTTCTGGAAAATTCTAAAATACACTCAGAGAAGGAGAGTGCTTAAATAGGCTTAATAAGGCAGATGCTGTTTTAGCATTGTTTTGAAAATAATTTTGACTTTGTGGACCTCCTGAAATTGTCTTGGCACACAAGAGATCCTTGGACTGGATCTTAGGAACCATTACTTTAGAGCAGAGGTGGGGAACATCTGGCCTATGAAATTATTTGGTCTGGCCCCGCCAAGGCAACCGCAGATGGGACTCAAAATTCAGTAAATCTAGGAGCTTTTTTCATAACTAATTTTTAAGTTGATAATTTTGTATGGCCTGTGAATGAAGTTATAAATATCCAAATGGTCCTTGGCAGAAAAAAAGTTCCCCCACCCTTGCTTAGAGTATCATGGGATATATTCAGTGCCTCACAATTAGTATTTGTGGAGTGAAATTTAATTTGTGTGTGTTTCTGTGATCACATGCGTGTTTTGTCATAATGCAAAATATTTTTCTTATTTTAGTAGTTTTACTTTAAAAAGTTTGAATATTACCTTTTTAAGTTACATTTAGGAAAAATTTATTCTGTATTGGGATGAGGGTTAGATTTCAGGTGGAAAAAACCAGAGGTAGGGGAGCAGTTACACAGGCATGACATTGAGGTGCTGATTAAGGAAATGCTATAAACATGAATAGCTAACTTGTTCAAAAAGAAAGAGCTCTTGGATATCGGAATAAAAGTCTGAGTGCTTAGAGTGAAGCAAAAGCTCCACTATCAGACAATAAGATGGTCAGCAATTTTAGGTCAACTTTTCCTTAAATATACCTGTGTCTCATAGTCTGACAAATACGTTATTCTTTGCAGTTCCATTAGCACAAATCCTGACCTCTTTTCTTCATATCCTGCTGTGTAAGCTTGAAAAGCACAGTCCCCAGGCACTGGTCTCTTTTTTGCTTTTTAAGCCTAAATATCTGTCAATCCTATGTCCTATGGATGTGAGTGAATCATAGTCAAAATGATAATAATATGAATTAGAAGCTCATTTCCTTTCACTTGTCTGGCATTTTGTACAGAAAGTCCTTATTAATCATCACAACTTTTATTGAAATAGTCAAACTGTATTCACATAAGAAAAAAGTGGCATTTTGAATAATTGAATAGACTTTAATTAAGGATAATTTGTTTGATATGAAAAACTAGAGTGCCTCAGTAGCCATGTTGTCTTCTTTGAAATTCATTAATAACGAATGGGATAAATGACAAAAAATCGGAAGCTAACATTATAAAAATTAATTTCTACGGTAAATAGAGATTTTGGTTAAACCAAAAAGGCTTATTCAGAGATGAATAAAGATGGTTGTTCCTTATGTTGCCCCCAGGAGATGTGGAGAACTTTAAAAGCCTTATAAATCACCAAAGACAGCACCATTGTTTATAGATAGAGCTTCAGTGCAAATTCTATCTCGTAGCCCCCCGTATCCACAGCGTATTTTCAAGACCCGCAGTGAATGTCTGAAACCGGGAGAGTGCCAGATTCTAGTCAGCTCCTTAAGCTCTGTCAGAAACGTAGCAGCAGCTGCTTCGCTGGCAGGCTCAGCCTCTTCCGTAACTTTTGTATTTTTTGATCCAAACCTATTCCTGAATCTGTAGCCAGCCGTTCCTTGCAGTAAATGGCTCGGTGTCGCTTGTTTCGGGGAGCCCTTGCTGAAGCCTGTGTGTAGGCTCAGTGCTTTTTGGCGCACCTCTTCGCCGTCGATCAGAACACGTTCTTCCCCACACTTCTCGTGCGTTTCCATCTAAACTAAGCACTATCTTACCTTACTTAAGATAAACGTGTGGCCATAACTTTTGCAGTTTGAAGTATGACAGCAAAACTGACACTAACTTCTTTTTTCTTCTTCACAATTTCATGGGTAAAAGAATTGGGTTTTTTACCGTAGATCTTAACCTCAGCATACAGATTTTTTTCTTATTAAGTCGAGAACTTTCACCTTTTCACTTAAAGGAAGCACTTTATGGATTCTTTTTGTCATATTCAAATTGCCCACATCAATACTCTTATACTTTGGGGCTATTATTAAGTGAATAGTGTCCTCGTAATATTAAACATAAGGCTGTGACCATTGCGCACTAAGTTTTGATCCAGGTATAATTATTGAATAAGTAGATTTAAAAGTTGCGTTAGTAGTCCTAAGGGTAGATATATGTACAGATTAAAAAGCTCTTTTCTACTTCTTAAGTGTTTTCTAACCACTCCTTTTGGTGTAAATAGTTGGTGAGATGCAAATTATACTGTATTTTCTGCTCAAAACTGTCTATGGTTAGTAAAATTCTTCCCTGAAATATATTAAAACCTGCTAATAAATCACTATCGTGCCACTGATAAATCACTATCATAAAATAATAGCTGGGTAAATTCATCAAGAAAGTTCATAATTATCTAAAGTCAACCAACAACATTTATTAATCGTTTACTATCTGTATGACATTTGAGATACAAAGATGAGAAAATTAATTAAAAATATTTTTTGACTACCTGCTATATGCCAGGCATTCTTTAGCTTAGAGATGCAGAAGCAAAAATAAATAAGTACAATTTCTCATTCTATGGACCTCATATCCCTGGGAAAGAAAATCAATATATTATTAAAATATTAATTAATGATACGTGCTCTGCAGAAATTAAAACAGTGTACATGACTGACTGGGTGCAGACTTGCAGTGGGTGATCTGGCAGGATTTCTACGAGGAGACATGATCATTGAAAGGCAAGTTGGAGCCAACCATGTGCAGTTCAAGGAGAAGAGCATTTCAGCAGAGGAAACAGGGCAAGGGGATTGAGGTGGCAAAGGGCCACCTCACAGGCATTATATAAAACTTTGAAATCTGGATCACATTCTCTTGACTGGGTCACATGCAGAAATGAGAAGAAGATGCACAGAGAGGCCTTTGTGTAGGAGATGTTCAAAGAGAATGGATAGCGCCAAACTTTTTGAGAAGTTTTGCCACCATTCTTTACAGGACTCTTTGTCCATTTATCCAGAAAGATTTATTAATAGTATTAGTATTATTTTATTTTTACTTTAAATCACCAAATCCCTCCTTTTAAAACTACTCAGTTTCCTAAGGTAGAAACTTGTTCCCTAGTGAGTTCCTTAATTATTTCATTGAGAGGTATAATTATTGCTTGTGAGCTTCATGCATTGCTATTATCGCCAGGCTAAGTTTAGCCTTTGATATTTTCATTCCATAATTTTAGCCTACTGTGAGATAAATGAGCAGAAAAACTAACTGCAATAATATGGATGCATCAAATTTCTAGAGCTAGAAAAGACCTTATTAACGATGCAAGTTATCTCCTTTAGCCAAAGAGAAAACCAACCTCGAGGGTGAAGGCACTTACCCAGCAGCCCCTTTAATTGCAATGCTGGGAGAAGGGGGCTTCTCCATTCCAGCCGTTGGTGCTCTCTTTTTATTTAGCACTTAGAGTAAATAATTTTTTCTGTTTGAAATCATGACAGCTCTATAAATGCACATTTCTTTTTCTGCATTTGGGGTTCTTCTTGATTAGGGGACCTCTTCCAGCTTTCCAGAACATTAGCAGGCATGTTCCTTTAAGAAACTTGGCTAACACCAAATTTTTAAATAGATACTCTCTTGCAGATTTACCTGCATTGTGTGGGAGATGGATTTAAGTATCTACAAATGATCATAATGTTCAGATGAGTTGATAGATTTAACTAGATTTTCTTCAGAGGAAAATGTTAGAGGATGTCTAATCACTATACTGTACACCTGATACTAATACAAAGTAACATTGAAAGTAAACTGTAATTGAAAAATAAAAAGTATTTTAGAGAAAACACACAAAAATTATAAATCATTTTGAATGTGTTTGTGTTAGATAGAATTAAGTAACAAGATTACACATGACCTATATTGTCTTTTAGTTCATATGTGTCTTATGTCTCCCTCTGATTAGCAGAGATTTAAGTTATGTATCTGAATAAGCACTGAAAAATCGTCAGCACCTAATGCAGGATTAAATACGGAGGAGAAATTTTAAAAATATATGTTGAAAGAAACTGATTTATTAATTTAAAACATTTTTTATGATTTAAAACAATAAATTGGAGGATGACACTTTAATAGCTTTTTTTACTAGTTGTTGACAGTTTGATCTGCTGTAGTGCAAGGCATCATAAAAGATGATTACCAAAATAAAATATACAGTTTAAATATATCCAACAGAGCAACAGCTAATACAGTTATGTGATTTAGGAAGAGGTGTTATCTTGTTAAATCAAAATATCATGCTATTTGCTTTTTAAATAATGGGAAAAGCTTGATGGATTAATGCACATAGCAGTTATAGTACATTTTCCAAGGAAATTGAAGTAGATTTCCCCTATCCATTAATTTCCATTACCACCCATT